TGAGATATAGCAGTTAAATCCCGTGTCTGAGTATCAGATACAGCTTCCAGTTTATTTGTTAAAAGAAGTTTTCAGAAATAGTCATCACCATGACAGGGAGATTTGCAGTATTGAAGGCTGCAACCAAACACAATTAAAAAAAAAAATTAAGTGAATGGTATACCTGACAGCACAGAATAGTGATTTCTCTGATCAGCGCTCCCGTGACCAGAGTGTACATTTTTAGACTGGGGTAAAACGGACCACGGAGCACACTGGTTTTGCCTTCTGAGGCTTGGACTGCCCACGCTAAGGTCGCTACAGCAACAATCTCTCTCTCTCAAGCCAGTCCTAAGGCAGGAACGCTTTTTTTTCCGCTCCTCCTCCCCCTCCCTCCAGCTGCTAAGCAAAGAATAAACTTCTAGCTTCGCCCCTCCTTTATTGGAAGGGGAATAGGGTAATATGCTGTAATTGGTTTTCCATGTTTGCCAAGAGTCTGTTTCCTCTTATCATCCACAATATTTAACATAAGTCTTGTAATAGTTCCAAAAATAATAAAATCTGTCCCAAGAATAAAAATGATAGATCCACAACATGCTGCTTTTTTGTCATGGTCTTGGTTTTGTAACGTTCTGTTAGTAGTTTTTATTGCCTAATGTTGTGGTTTCTTTCATACGCAGCAGACCCAGTAAAGACATTTCATCAGCTACTTACACAGCAGCAGCCTGGATTATTTACAAATGGAGATTTCAGTACCATATTAAAATAAATCACCACTGCACAGTTAAAGTTACAGTGCAGTAATGTGGCAGAAAACCCCCCCAGAGATTCTAGGGGGAGGAACACTAAGTATATACAAGTCATAAGTATGCTATCAGCAAACAAATTTATTAAGATAGCCAAATAAAACCTGTTAGCTTTCCTCCTTCTCCCCTATCTCCTCCCATGCAATAGTGGAGGAGGAACAGACAAATTATATCCCCACACACATGCAAACCAGCACATGTGGTACATGTAACAAGTAACAGAACCTACGCAATGCTTTCCTCGCGATTCCAAGACAAGCAGCAAGACAGTATATCCCGCTTTCCCTCTGCCCGCCCCTTCCATCCCCAAAGCAAATGCCCCATATTGGGCAAATTTCCTTAAGTGCAGGTGTAAGGGAAGTGGAACAGTAAAGATGGAGAGCAACGCTTTGCTCACTGGATTCAGCTTGAATGAAAGAATACCAGAATAGACAAGACAAAAAGGAGATAATACACAAGAGAAATTTGATTTAGGAGTAGAAGAAAAAAACCCAAACAAACAACTAAGAAGAAAGCTGTAGGACAATCAGTAGTGTCAAAAGAACAGTCCATCAAGAGGAATCGCTCTCTCAGGTGTTAGCATTTACAAAACCAATACCCTAGTGGTAACAACTTTGACAAAAACACAGGCACACTGGAGTGCCCTCATTTAAAATGGTTTCTTAAAAGAAATCAATTCTTTCATGCCAAAAATCATCTGATATTTCTAAGCTTTTTAATACATGTTTTTTCACTCAGACTGCAGCTTAGAGCCTGATAAGGTTTTCCTTTCTTCCCAAGAACATATCTAGTGCTCTAACTCTCCCAGAGAAACTCTTAAGGCAGAAAATTTAACCTAAAATTTATCTGCGACCTTCTAATCCCACCAATATATAAACACCGTGGTTGAAGGCTCTTCTACTAGTCAACACCAGAATGAATTAAGCGTCACAAAAAGCGTAACACAGCAGAGAGGAGCCACCTCTGGAGCAGGGAACGGAGCGCTCGCTGCCTGCTAGGGGCTTCAGGCAGCCTCTCATTATTTTTGTGTATCAGTAAGTGTTTTGGCAGTCATTTACCTTAAGTCACTGCTGAGCCTGATCTTGCACAAGAATAAATCAGAATGATTGAAGTCAACAGAAACACACAGGTATATGATTGAGGAGGGAGTGTTAATCTTTCTTAAATGACTGCCAAAACTCCTGGAGCTTCTCATTTTAAGTAGAAATTAGAGACTAGTCTTAAAAACATCCTGCTTGGAGGATCTGTCACTCCAAATTTACTCTTTTGTAAGTTAGCTGTTTTCTACCATGTGCTAAACTGCGAATACAGGAAAAGAGCACCATGGTATGAAATATGGTATCGATAACAGCCTTACCCTGTACAAGTTCCTGGGGAATAACTGTTTTAATTCTTTGGTTATGAAAATGCAACCAATAAAAGCAACTAGAATTCAGCATGAATTCAGTCACCCATGTACAAGTAAAACAAACCTGTGAAAGAATAACCTTGTAAAGCACATGCTCTAGAAGTAAAACCTGCTGCTAGGTTTGGTGCTACACAATTTGCAAATTCTAGTAAGATAAAATAGGATCAGTCGCTTCTCAAATACTAAAATACAGATTTCTAATCGGCAACAAAAGGATTATGTACGCACAAAGCTTGTGACAAAAAGCCAGGCAGAACGCAAGGAAGCTTCAGTTTTGCTTTAGCTCCTCTTTGAAAGCACCAGATTTTTATACAACGCGCAGTATAAGCCTGGCAGGTAAGCCAAGACCAACCAGCCGGATCAAAAAGCAGTATGCACACCTGACTACAGCACATTCCTCCCGCCTTTCACTCTCCCAAAAAACCACTGGTGGCTCTTTGCTGTAACAGCCCTAAATTCCTGGTCAGTTCTGTCCATCTTCCATGCTTTCAGAAAATAAGTGGCTGGCAGAAGCTTTAGCTTTGTAAATCATCGCCACTTAAAACAGCATCCGTTTTTGTTCTTCTCAGGATAGGGTACAAATTCCCCTCCTCTGATCCCTTAACAGGGCCGATTTTTACAGCTAAGAGAAACTTACTCCCAGTTGTAATGCAGCTGAGGCTGCTATAGAAAAACAGGCTTTTCTCCCATCTCATCTCAAGCAATTGGGTTCTGCAGAGTTGCCAGTTCCAAAAAATCTTCAAGCAGTTAATTCAAGTGAGTACTTTTGTTTGTTCATTCCTTCTTGTGAGCATCTACTTACTGCAAGCCAGTTTTCCCTCAGCATCAACGCAGTGCGGTCCTATGGTTTTACCGTCATGCAACACAATTTTCAAACTGAAACAATGTTTTTGTGTTTTACAAATGCAAACATCACATAATGAACAGTTAATAGTTGAAAGTATGTAAATGGAGAACCCTCTTAAGAATTTAAATAGTGGAAACAATTATGTTGCATTACTTAAAATGATCCTGAACCCATAAGAAAGATTTGAAGTTGGCAACTAGTGCAAATCCTTATCAGTTGTCAGTTCCCCCAGACACAAACAAAAGGTTCCACATGTTTTTTAAACTTTATTTAATCTCAGAACCACTGCTATGTTACACCTGTCAGGCTGAAGTTTATTCACTTCCGATATTAAAGTTCTGACAATAAGAATGGACGACATGAGGGTCCATGTCCCCCAGTGTTGTGTTGCAGTCAGTATTGGTCCAGTAAGACAAAAAGTTTTGCAGTCGTTCCCTGCCCCGCCTTCCCCGCGCTTTTATTTTATTTTTTTTAGACACATGAAGCATGGCCTAGCACTAGTGTCACCCTTTTATCTGCAATTTATATAAATAGGATGAAGGTGGAAACCCAGCTGTTTCCTCATTTGTAGGAAAAGTGACATGAATACTCTGTACTTTAGCAAATAAACACTTAAACACAGGCTTTTGGTTTTGTGCTGTTGCAACCCTTTCCATGTGAGGCAAAACATTCCCCCCCTCCGACCAGCACCATAATAAGTACCAAAGCATTTCTAGTTTAGATTTTCGTCAAGATTTCCAAACTGGCAGATTTTATTTTCACACCCTCTTCACAATAGACAAGATGCTTACCATATATTTAGGATTACAAGTTGTCACTAAAAGAAAACTTTACACAACCACTGTACATTTAGGTTGAAAAACTGTCCTTGCATGAAAAATATACCTAGAAATCAAGTGGTAAACAAGAAAAAAATTAAGAAAAGATTATTAATGTTTTTATAATGTGCCATTTCAAATTCGTCAACTCCTCCTCTACCTTTCATTCATACTCTCTTTTTACCTATAGTATTTGTTAAGGCAAACAGCTAATCCATTTCTGAAGAGGTGCTGTGGAAATTGTGGACAAACAGCAAACATTTGGCATTAAAATAGATAGCACGTATGTAGCCTCTAGTAATATACATTAAGCATTTCCCTTGGACTTCAGGATAATGACGGGGAGGATGAACATGCTAACAACGTCAAAAAGGCTTAAAATTTAGCATCCAAGCAATTTCTATTAATGCTTCTGTAGTTTTCAAGCTCTAAGTAGTATAGAATTTATGCAAATGCATTAAAGAATTCTAGCTTGGCAAGTACACCCAAGCAGGTTATTAAACTATATATACAGAAAGTGATAAATACAGAATTAAAAGAGTCCTTCCGCTTCTCTTTATAGCCTTGAAAATTGACAAAAAACTTGAGGACAGCTCTACAATATTAAACATTAGGTAACCGCAGGAGCTGCGAAACCTAACTACACAAACTGATTAAAATACTCAGATGACTTCGTAGTGTTTAATACAATTCAGTTCGTAGTCAAGGGCACAAGACAACATTTAACAAAAATAATCACATCAGTTGACCTAGAAATCAAATGTAAATAGATATGAATACAATCTCCAAAATCCGTCTTTAAGTGAACATTAACCATTTATTCAAAGTTATACAAGAATTTGAAGGATAAAGTTGTCTTCTGCAACAGGAAACCAGCTTACAAGTTTCATGTCTCAGTGGAACTGAAGTGGAGGCGAGCGGGGCGGGGGGAGGGAAGGGTGAACAAACAAGTTAGTAGGCCCCATCCAGGCAGCTAGAAAGTAAAAACAGGCTCAACAGCAGCCTCCTCCAGCTTGTTGTCCTCCCTGATTGCCTGCAAGTGTTGCATTAGTAGCAGCATGTTGAGGGCCAATTTTTATGCCATTCGCCTGAAATGAAGTTTAATACACAGTGTAATTATTTTAGAACAGTAATATATACTTGAAAAGACATTTTTTTGTTTTTAGAAGATCGTATAGCAAGTTCTCCTAATGTATGCAATAAATACAGCAAAGTTTAGGGTTTTTTTTAGCAACAAGATGTCCTTGGCGATTAAATATAAAAGACGACGCTTTCTTTCTCATTTAAATTTTATCTCTGTGTAAAACTCTGTACCTTAAGCTCCTAACACAAACACACAGAGCCAAAACTGTATTTGAATACTACTTGGCATAAGGCTTTAAAAACACACAGGGTTTGCTAGGAACGTACAACCTCTCCCCTCTCACCAAAACCTCCATTAGTTTAATAGTTTAATATAAAACCTTTCCTCTCTAGACGGCATTTCTTTCTGTGTTGAATCAGCTGTAGAGGCTAAGGGCATACGAGTGTTCTGTGTCATCAATAATTTCTGTGATCCCGAAAGACATGGCTACTTGCCAAGAACCCACACAGAGCATAGCTCTTTCATTCATCAAAATCACACTTATATCTTAACCCTCACTCCCTCAAGTGGATTTTACCTAAAAATACAGCACTTTGAGAAAAGTAATACAGTAGCTTCAGAAATTAAGCTCTTAAGGAAACTTTGCGTCACAGTAAATCTCAGATTTATAGCGCTTGGCAGTTGTTCTGCAACAGTAGTAGCCTTGGGGTTTCTGGCACTAGCTCAGTATTGACAGCAGCTGATGTGGTTTCTTTTCGCTCTTTGACTCCTCTTTAATAAAAAGCATGCCCTATGGCTCATTGGTTTTGCCCCCTCTGGGCTGATAGCAACTTCTTGAGGAATCAAGGAGCCAGACTTGGCATAAAGCCAAATAAATAGCACGGACTGTTGGCTCTTGACAGCATATTGCAATCAAAGCTCCGTAAGGCACAGTAAAGCAGTCAGCTACTATATGAAACTCGACAGATACAACGAGCAATGCTTTTTCAGACACTCTGATTACTGTCCAATTTATATCGCACTGCTGAGTGCGGCTTCTTCGGGAAAAACGTTAAAGAAAATGTTAAGTTTTTCATCACTAAACTGAATTTAGAAAGTGTTTCACCAGAACACTGTATATATATACACACACACTTTCCAGTCAGAATTAGCGTCTCTGAGGATTACTATTCAAGTCTTAGCTACAAGTTTCCTACTTTGCATACTAAAGTTTCTCATTATTTCCTCTCTAAAGTCATAAGAGCACTATTTTTAATAGTCTAAATTTTCTCATGACGAAATACATCAAGCAGAAAGAGGTGAAGCTGCTTAATTGAGTTCTGCCAATTCCCTCACTACTCTTTGAACAATTCTGCAAGGACTATAACGCTTAAGAGAAGCGTGAGACTGACAGTTCCAGACAGAGAATGCATCTATTCACAGGACAGATATTGAACAGAAAGTGGCCGTGCAGATTTTCACATGTGGTTTCTTCACTAAGTGCCTCGGCAACAATGTTTAGGGACATGCAGAATGAAAAAAAAAAAGAAAACCTTAAGCAGCAGAGAGGACTGACCACACTGGCAAATTTAAACTTTATGTGACTTTGTATGCAAATGTTAACTGAGAGCTTATACAATCATAACGTTTCTATATGATTGTAGTTTTTTTTTTTTCACTACCACTGAATTTGTATCTGCTCTTCCTATGGCCTGAACCTCTGTCCTAACTGCTCAACATTTTCAACAGCACAATTATTTCACAATTCAAGAGAGACATTACAGGTCTTTCTAGGCTCTTGCATTACAAAAGTGCTCCCTGCTCCACCTCCCCACCCCCACCCCAAACAAGCCAAGAGACAGGCTCTGATAATCTGTAATTTCAGTAATGTGCATAGGCAAAATGGCTAATCTTTTATTCCCTACAGAATCCAGCCACCTAAACCAGGAACATTTCAAAAGTCTTTTATGTAACTCTCAAAGCAATCCCTCCCCTACACTGGACAGCTCATGGAGTGCATCTGGCATATCAACATGGTCTCCCATTTACATAGTGGAAAATTATCTTTGAAAACAGATGACACCATATGGAGAAGTGGATGAAAGTGGATTTTCTTCTCTTTTGGGGATTTATATTATTTTGTGATGCTTCATGGATGGATAGGGTCACTTATTTTAATCCATTTTTATCACAATGGCAGACAGTTCTATATCCAAATGGAACAGACAAATATTTTACTGTCCAGCCTTCCAGGGAAGGTGAATTTTGTACATTTGAAACCCAAACAGTGTTCAGGGTACTAAAAGTTACCTCATTATTAATGTCAAAAACTCCTTCCTGGATCTTCTCGTAGATCTCCTTTGCAGTGTTAATAAATGCCTAAAACAGAGGGAAAAAACCAAACACAATGAATGCGATATCCTTTGAGGTAAGATGCACTAATTGGAGTCCAATCTCATGTGCAGTTGTTTCAGCAAGACTTTTCTTCCTGACCTCATCAGGAACAGGTATGACAGCAGCATCCTATAACCTACCCTGAAGTAGCAATGGATCACGCATTGTTTACAAAAACAGTGGCATTTTCATAACATCTGTATTCTACAATCTGTTGTCCAGTAATTACAGGGAAAAAGTGGTTTTTAAGATACATAAATTACTTTTAAATTATTTATTTCTGACCCTTATGGATAGATTGTGTGGCAGATGGTTTCCCCTACCCTTAATATCTTTGTAATAGGCCACTCTAGATTAGAGTGCTTAGCAACATAAAACCACAGGGTACTTACAATGATGATGTAAGGATGCTGTCTGCTGGATGAAACCTTATGCTATCATTTAATATTCACCTAATTTTAAGAACGTATTCTCTTTAATTAATCTTGCACACGACAGGCAATAGACATCTTAATAGCAGAAAGAAGAGGCCCCAGGTTTTACTATGATTTCTGAAAACCTATTGTTTTAATTCAGAGAAAAGACTTTGACGTTCTAGTCTGAAAAAGCAAATGATATAGATGTTTTTGGTTCAAGTTTACAATCGATGATTACATTTTTCATCTCTCATTTAACTGTATAGGTCAAGTAATGCCCAAAATAGTGTGTAATTTAAGAGGTGATTAACAGCAGCTAATAATCGTAATCAATATCAAACATATAGTTCTTTTTGTTTTAAAATGCCAACACCATGCAATCATACAAGATATGTTATCTTCTGCACAAGCCTATTACAGCAAATACAGATCTAATTCAAATATAAAAAAGTAAACAGGGTTCATGGAGAGGAACAAATCATACCTTTCCTCATTTCTACACTGGAAGCATTTGACTGCTGAACTTGCCACCAGAGCTTTGTTTCCTAATTAACAGGACTGATATGTTTTCACCTTTAAAGGCCTTACAGCTCCCCAGAGTAATCAATCTACTGCAGCTCAATTACTGCACCAAGCACACACCACAGCCAGCGAAGGAGACTTGAACGACTGCGGCAGGAGCGGAAAGATATGAATATGCATAAACTCTAAGTGGGTGATCGAATCATCACAGAGGGTCATGAGAATTTGCAGCAAAATAATGAGAAGAATTAATCATTGCAGATTCACAAGGCACTTAGGAAGTGAGTTCGTTTTTCAAACACGCGTTAGAGTTGAGGAGAAAAATTGGCTTTTGGCCAACTATGAATTGATTCAAATTCCTCAGAAATTGAAGTTTCCAAGGTAAGAAAAAAAATCAAACTTATCTTAGTTTCCAATAACATACTAATTATTGTAATGGCCTCATACATGGGCTACTGAAAGGTGTAAGTCAAAAACTTTGGAAATTCACACAGCTGGAATCTGTGATGATGCTTGCTTCTATTTTAGTAGGACATTAAACAGAACTTGAAGTCTTAAAAACGTGTTATGATAACTTCATGTAAACAAGCACTTAACAATTGGCACTTCTAACAGTTCTAGATGATGTTGGCTATGTGCGCCTAGGCTCTTAGAATTAATGTCATGAGAATTACATTAGATCTATAAAAACTACTTTAGATCAACAAAAGCAGAATTTTAAGACTACAAACTCCAAACTAACACAACTGAGTATAAAATATCTTCTGGATGCTACACTCAAGAACCGTTCACCACAGTAACACATCTATCCTCACGAAACACAGTGAAATGCACTGGAAAATACTGTGTTTTAACAAGACTCCATGCCCCCTCCCTTCAACACAATTGTTACACATGCACTGTACAAAGCAAAAAAGCATACCGAGTTCAGTACTGTTTAATATTAAACATATTGCCTGAGAAACCGTTCATTTAAAAAATCCAAAAGTATTCCATTCACCTCAGTTCTGTCATTTCGGTTGTCTTGAAAAGACTAATCTGACTACCACATTTGTATCGGCGATTCTGGAGCACCACGTATTAGTGTTAAACCAGCACATACTGTTATTCTGCATGGCAAAATGCCAGGCTGCACTGGGTCACATATAAATAATTTCTATTTGAAAACAATTGTTTCACAACAACATACCACACAATAAATCTACCTTATGTTTTCTTCAGTTGGTATGCATTCTGAAAAATTACTACTAATCAGCCATGAAAAAAGACTTGCATCCCTTGAGACTTCCATTTGTTTCTTGCATCCAAGTTACTTTGAAGCGTAAGTGGACTCGAAATAACCACCTGAGAACTTTACTGAAAACAGCAGTCTACTCGCTTCAAGAATATCATATCTGATTTTGGCATTGCATGCTAGGGCCCCAATCGGCAAGGACAAGAAAGTGAACCCAGTATAAATGACAACTTCTAAAAAAACCAAATCTCTTTTTATACTGCATGTTCTAACTCTTATCTGGAAGATGCAGTACAATATAAACTCTCAATTATTTATGGGCCGTTTATCCTATTTGCAGATTAACTGAGCAAAGGATGCAGAGAAACAGAGCAGTTTCCCCTCAAATCCAGTTTGGATTTATTAGACCATGTGCAGGGGACTGCAAGAACACAGCTGTAGCACTTCACACGCCAACTTGGATCCAGGTGCAGTTTAGCCACTTCCACACAGCACAAGACCTCCACCAGTGAGCCCCCATGGACTCTGCTGGCTGCCTACCAAGCTGACTGCGGTTGCACTCTACATTCCCATAATGCTGCTGTTACTAAAGCACCATACAGAGATACTCAAGTACCTCCACCCCAAATCAGCTCAGGTCCAGGTTTAATTTTCACTACTCAGCCATCTGAAGGATGGCAAGGTCCTAGTACACAGTTCCTCCATTACTCACAAAAGGAAGAGAGAGGGTTTTACCAAAACAGCATGCTAGACTTAAAAATTCTACACTACATTTCAGTAAAATTAAAGAATACAATGTAACATCATGAAAACATCTACATTTCATGTTAAACTCTTGGCTTTAATCTTTCTAAATCACAAATTAATGATGCTTTCACATATAAGACTACTGAACGTATCTGTACCACAATATTAAAAAAAAAGTTGTATACAAGTTATTCAGTGATTTGTTTTCATGTAGCATGTTTTTCGGTTGTGTTCACATTATAACTAGGTTCTCAAATAACAGTAGTACCCTGCTGAGGAAAATCACATTACCATACAAGTGGGAAAATGAGTCTTGTAAGATGTGATCTGCCTGTTGTGACACACCTGCACCTACTGAAAAGCTAACAAAGGAGGTTTTTGAGTCACAGTACACCAGTAAAATATCACTTTAGATGATTTGTATAAGGAGTTTCCTAGACCATGGGAATCGAGAAGTCAAGTCTTGTAACAGTCACCTCAGAGAAAACAATCACCAAAACACCACAAAAAACCCAAATAGTATAGATGCTGCATTTAAGATAAATTAATCCTAAAAACACCAAACACAGAATTAAATCAACTTCGACGTACGTTTTATCACACAAAGTAAACAAATAAGGTAGGTTTACTACCCTTGAGACAAAACCAGGAAGAACAAATTCTATACCTGGTAAAAACAATGCAGGAAGTAAGGGAATAAGCTCCTGATACCTCTGTCTTGCACAAGTTGCATGTAGGAGTACTAATAAGCTAAAGGCACCAGAACGCACATTATAGAACAGCTACATTGAGTTTTCCACTTGGCCCATTTCACTTCTTTCGCAGAAAGCTAATGCCATGACGAGTATTTGAGGACTTGGCTTCAAGCTGAACGTAGCAGGCAAAACTTGTAAATGAATCACCAGTACTTTTCAAAACTCAGAATTTACAAGTTCATCTTTGCTTAAAATCAGAACAGGTCAGGTTCTCCGCTGCCAGCCCATGTCACAGGCCGCCCTCTGGTGGCAATACTGAAGTTTAATTTAGTGCTTTGAAAGACAAATCGGGCAGTCACTATTTCTCAACGCTTTCTGAAAATGTAATGAGGAATGCTTAAAGGTTAAATATCTTAAAAATACTAAAGCATGACCCTCGCCTCTGTAGTCAGCCAACACCTAGAATTTATTCCTCCTTCCCGACTTCCTATCTTATCTCTAAGCAGCAAGATATAGTAGAGTTAAGATTACTCTAGTATTAAAGAACGCACCTGGAAACAGTAACAACATGGTCCACAAATGGATTTACCCCTAGAGCATTCGCCATCCCAGTGTGTAAATGGTGCTGGATGGCTGCTTAATGGAGTGATACCCCAAAGCTCTGAGCAGCTGTTTCACACTCAGTAAGACAATACTTTTCACAACTAAATGAACCTTCAGAAAGAAGCCTAGGATACTAAAAGGGCTACAGAAGGGATAATTATCAAGCAGTAGGAAGGTGATGTACAATGAACCTACACCTCAGAAAGCACCCCAACACATCTGTAGCCTTATTTTTGAAGTAAAAGTGCACAGGCACAAAACAGAACTTGACAGCAATTTGCTTGTATGTACCCACTGAAGTGATATCCTTCTGACAAATTTGTCAGGAAGATGCACATTACTAGAGCTCAAAGAGTCTCCAAGTTCTGCAGCTGCTCTTGAATAGTTACAAAGAACAGAGCACCTGAGGAAAAAAAAAAAAGATAAAAAACCCTCAGAACTCAGGATCCATCTCTCCAGCAGAATCCACAGCTCAGGCAGGCAGTCATAGCATATTTTTCATGCTTTTCTATAAAGCCTGAAACCCTCGATTAACGGAGACTTTTTATTCTGATTATACCTCGGGATGTCCAGAAGCCTCAAGAACCATGGCAGAGCCAGCGTTCCTTACCACACAGCTGGGGTACAGTCCAAGGGTTTGCACGAGGAGGTAAAAGCTGTGAATTTTCACTGGAGCCAGGTGTCCTGCTCCTTCTCTTTTCCACAGCTAACCCAACGTGAGCTTCACCTCTATTTTCTCATGGAGGAAACCGGCTAAAGTGCCAGCTT